CATTTGTCCCTTTGTGACTGAGATACCTCACTCAGCATAATGTCCTCCAGGGTCACCCATTTTGAATAATATTGCATGAGTTCCTTGTTTTTCAATACAGCATTAATATTTAAGGAAGCTTTCTGTAGTTAGTTGCCATCTATTTGGCTCCAATATGTGACATTCTTATAAATGAACAGAACCAAGCATTGACTGATCCTATAGTAAAAGTGATGTTGCTGTTTTGTACTGGTTAGAAGGAACAGGCTCATAGCTGACCCTTCGGTGGGTGTTTAGAGGCCGTGCATCGCACAGGAGGAGACTGCTCATCTTTCTCTCGTAGATCAATTGGTGGATGACTTAAAGCCATTTGTCCTTTGATTGACAGTGCAATTCCTAATCCACTAACTCACCAGAGCTTTGTGGACTACAAACAAGGATGATTTCAGCTCCACATCCACCACTGACCAGCCTGCTGGCCTTAAATAACTCACTGTAGCTCTAGGGGGAATCTGTTTCCTCATTTGTAGAATGGAGACACATTTTCATTATCTTATAGTTCTTATAAGGCTCAGTGGAAACAGAGTAAGTTAAAAAGTTTTTTTGTTTATTAAAAAAACAAAACCAAACCCAATATACAATATCTGTTCTAGTGTATTATTTTTAGTAGAAGGTAAATGAAAATGAGGAGAACTCTCAAGGTGTTAAACTGACAAAATCACCTCAACAATGGCTCAAGGATCAAAGATCATGAAGAAGGCACAGGATCAGGCAATCTTTGGTTATGCTGTGCACACAGTCACCATAGGCCAGAGCCAATGTGACAGCAACTAATAACAACACATATGACAGTCATTTTGCTATCTACCTATACATGAAGCAAAAGCCCTTGGAGCATAATGGGTTGTGTGTTGGGCTTTCAACTAAAAAGCTAGTGGTTCAAATCCACCAGTCCCTCTGTGATGGCAAGATGGACAGTTTCTTCCCAAATATCTTTTTTACTTGGAGTAATTCCTTTACCGTAAGATTTGTTTTTGTTCTCGGTAGAAATGTTAGCCAATTTAGATTGATTTTACTGTACTATAAACACAAGTCAATTCACAGGAAGATAGTCGAGGTAGTCAGCTCTTGTGTAAAGATTTATAGTCTTGGAGACTCTACAGGGCAGTTCTACTACTCTGTTCTGTAAGGTAAAACTATGAGGTGGAATCCACTCCAACAGCAACAGAGTTTAAACCCTTCTAAGAAAGAAGTTGTGCGTGACTACTTTTTACCCCATGTAGTATCTGCCACAGTGCTTTTCTTGTAGGACAGTTAGTTATCTGCCATATATAATTGCTCTGACAGTAGAAGCTGCACATCTCACGTTATCTCCAGCTGACAGGCACTGATGCAGAGGACTGTAGTTCCTAGAGTAGCCACTAGATGGGAGGACAGGCATAGAAGTCATACTGGAGACGCTGGCTTGTTGGGTTTTTTTGTTCTTTTGGTTGGTTTGTTTTGTTGTTGTTTTGTTTGTTTTTGGTGTTTTTTTTAAAGTTGCTGGTCTCTTGGAGAGAAAGGAGGGAGGAAGGATGGACAGGAAAAGAGGAGGACAAAAAAAGAGAACATGGTATTTTTCATTTTCTTCCAAGAAATGAGAAAATAGTTGTTCTTACCTTTAAGACTCGAAGTTTAACTTTCTCAATGGAAACTGCGATTGTGGAGGCTTCTCGTTGAAGATGTGGGGACAGCAACTGCTCAAATGTGAACACGGCATTTTCCATCAGCTAGGAAGCAAAAGCAGCACAGAAATACTACAGTCAGAGGCCACCAGGATCGCTGCCCTAGACCTGTCTGAAAATGCTGTCAGAGGGTGGTAGTGGTGGTTTGTGTGCCATCAGGTCGGAACCGACCCATAGCTTATGCTCTAGTGGGTTTGATTTAATCGTATAGATGATTTCCCACCCTTCTCCAACAAAGCACTTGGTGGATTCATACCTCATGTCTTTGAGATTGCAGTGCAGCTTCTTAAACCTTCCCCCCCACCCCCAGCACTATCCTAGTGATGGCCAGGGCCAACAGGCCTTCATCCCACATTTGTGCATGCACACAGTCTCCCAGGTTTGTGCTTTGAAAGAAATAACCACTCAGGCAAGGGTGGGGTCTGATAAGAGAGAGTGTGTGTGTGTGTGTGTGTGTGTGTAAATTATCTACCCCTTCATCCACCCACACCCTCCATTTCTTTTCCTTCAGCCCTTTAAGTACTCAACTAGAGAACTCAAGATCATGGGATTGAGATGCTCATTCCCTGTTTTCCATTCTCTGGTGTCTATAGCCAGGTCTTAAAAGAAATGAAGTGGGAGCCTGTCTTCTCCAATTACTGTTTGGCTGCTTCAGTCTCACTCCTTTACTTTTATGTGAACCAAATCACTAAGAACACCTGCCACCCCTTCTCCATTTTGCAGCCTTCCTCTTCAGGAATCTTTCTCTACAAGCCCATGCTGCTACGCTTATGTGAGAGAAAACAGAAGTTGTTCACATTTCTTATTCTCTGCATCTGTACGTCTAGCAAGTTTAACAGGCCCGGTCCAGGACTACCAAAGGCCTTTTTGCTAGACTGTTGCTCAGTTTTGTTCCTGGCCTGTTTTCCATCTCCCTCAGAGGTTGGATAATGATCATATATATCTCCTAATCCTGACCACCACTATTAAGGAGGAAAAAAAAATTCTTTCTTCTCAAGCTTATGATCCTAGAGCAACCAACACATAACTTAATCATAGCTCTTTCAACACTATCGTAAATTTATACATTTCTCTCACTATAAGTTTCCTGAAGAGTTCCCTTAACCTATCTAATAAAATAGTTCTTTCATAAACTTTAAGGTTTATCCCCTCTTTGTTTAGAAAAGACTGTACTGCAATACGGATAAGGAACTCCGGTGGCTTAGTGGTAAGAAATTTTGCTGCCAACCCAAAGGCTCGTAGTTTCAAATCCACCAGCTGCTCTGCATTAGAAAGACAGGCAATCTCCTCCTGTGCAATTAACTGTCTCTGAAAACCTGCTGGAGAGTCAACTACGAGTGGGTTCCGACTTGACAGCACATAACAACAAAATATGAATATAGAACTCTGGTGAAGTAGGGGTAAGCGGTTGTGCTGCCAACTCAAAGCTTTGTGGTTCAAATCCACCAGCTGCTCCACGGGACAAAGATATACACTTTCTTTCTGTAAGATTTACAGCATCTAAAAGCCTCTTGTTGGGTAAGCAATGAGTTGGTTCTGACTCGAACGCACGTAACATTATATTTATATCTATATAAGTCTGTCTGGCTATCTATCTATCTATCTATCTATCCACATACATACATAGAATTGGCATTGAGCTCTTCCTAGGTAGAATATTCCTTTTGAGGAGAGAAGGGGAGCCCACTAAGCAGACTCAAAACCTGAAAAATATGATAGCAGTGAAGTTCTATTTATTATCATATTTTTACTCTTAACTAAGAAAATTAAACCGTTGCTTCTCAACTTTGATTACTTACTTACTGCTTCAACTGTCACTGCCACAGAGAGCTGACTCATAGCTGACCATCAAGGAGGTTTTCAGAGGCTGTAAACACCACAGGCTGAGATTTCCCATCTTTTTCCTACAGAGTCGCTGGTGGATTTAAACCACTGGAGAGCGGCTACTTTGGATTAGCAGCATAATTCCTGATGGACTATGCCACCAGAGGGCGCTGGCTATGGGTGAGAGAGTACTTTAAAGAAATTGCCAAAATACAGTACCACAATCGCTAAAGATGGGGTCCAGGCATCAGTGGAAGTTTTGGTAACAAGGTCAATGCACTAATTTGAGAAATCAAGTCATTATTAGTTAATGCTCCCATTTCATGAGGCATCCTAGCGATGCAATGGTTAGGTTCCCAGCTACTGAAAGGTCAGTGGTTCATATTCACCAGTTGCTCCACAGGAGAGGATGAAGCAGTTTGGTTCTGCCTTTGAAACTCTATGGGGCAATTCTACGCTGTCTTGTAGGTTCACTCTGGGTCTGAGTCAATTCACCGTAACAGGCTTGGATTTGGGGATGAAAGCTCATCAACTCAGAAGACAGATGAAGTCAGTCCTAAGGCCAGTTAGCACCTGATCTCAGTAGCTCCACCCCCATCCATATGAATGTCCCTGCCATCCCACCTCTTGCATGCAGTTCTGGGTCCTCTGGACCACCAGGTCCACATGGGGGAATCTGAAGCGGCTCTTGAGGTCCTGCAGGCGCTCTTGGAGCAGGTTGACTTTAACGTAACAAGGTTCCATCTTCACCGAATCCAATGGGAGGTTCATCAGCTGGTCTAGACGCTGCATTTAGGTGAAGGGAAAAAATGAAACACTTTCAGATTTAGGAGGTGAGTGTAAACACAATTGTAAGCAATTACGCACATATCATTAGAAAGAACTGTAACCTCGATCAAGACACTGTGACCTCTTCAGTTACCTTGTTTTCCACCTTTTTGGTGGGTTCTTGGGCAGCTTTATTGCCAGTACAGACATTGGTTGCTAAAGAAAATTAGCTGGGTGGTGAGAAGACTTCAGGAGGTCTGGTCTTCTAAGTTCCTGATGGAATGTCTAAGCTCTCAGGTGTTCAACTCAAAGACTGAGCAGGCAGGCTGCTAGGTCCATGAGCTTCAAAAACTGTCTTTCACTAGTGGCACCCCTCTAAAAAAGCCCTGGGAGGTTGGAATGTGCCCTTTTTGTGCTGTCTAGGTGCCAAGCCAGTTCTTCACAAGTTTGAGGCTCTTCAGTTTCAACAGGGCTTCCTTCTGCTACAGAACGTTTTGGGGGCCTAATGGATGGGGAGGTATGTAAGGGTTGAGTAAAAGGAGGGAACCAGCTTTAGAAAAAGATGTCCCTGGAATAGGTCAGAAAAATCACAAAAAAGAGCAGGTCTTCTGACCTTATAGGAACTATGGTACCCCTGAACTATGACCTGGCCTCACCCTTCAAGGCTGGAGCTGAATTGACCCTCCAGCTCAGCTTTCAGTCAAGCAATAGACAGGCCAATACAGCAGAGTAACACTGGCAACTCCTCAGAACTGTCTACCATTTGTGATGAAAGGGGTAGCATTTGCCCACAGATCAAGTTCAGAGGACAGGAAGGGATAAGAACAAAAGATAAATGGAAATGAAAAACACAGAGAAGTGCTGTTACATTACAGGGATTGCAGTCAATGTCACAAGACAAAATGTGTGTGAACTGTTGAATGGAAAACCAATTTGCTCTGTAAACTTTCACCCCACTCACAATAAAAAGTTAAAGGGAGAGGTGGATAAAGGAAATGGGAAGGATCCAGTGTAAAAATAATGTATACAAACTTTTATCAGTAAACAAATATGAAAGAAAAAATATATTAAAAAAGAAAACCAACCAAACAAAAAAGTTAAACAACTAAACGATGATGGTGTCCCTCCTACGCTAGTTTGCAGGACTTGAGGACTTAACTGGTAAGGTTATAGGGCTTCAGTGAAAACACAGTGTCAGACTTCATTCACAAACAACTGCCCTCCAGAGTGTAAGCTGCATTCTGTTATTCTAGGAAGGTTGTTGCAAATACAAGAAATGCTATCTTCCAGTTTGTCTAAAATTTTTTTCAAATAAAATATTTTATTTTTAAAATAGCGCTTGGAGAGGAAAGTGACAGAAGGAAGGTGCTGGACATGGAGGTTCCCCGTAAGAACTGGGGAGCAAGGTGAGGAGGGGCCAGATGATGTAAGGTACAAGGCCTGAATCTCATCACAGAAAAAGATAAAGCTGAATTTCTCTAAACAGACACAGGGATCTTAAAAGAATGTCTTTTCATTGTGTTCTCAAAGGCACGTACACACCGTGCCCATCACTAATGTGCTTGACTGCTAACCTAACAGTTGAGGTTTGAGCCTACGCTAATTGGTCAAAGTTTTGACAAGTGACAGCACTCCATTGCTGATAGGCATCTGAGGAGAAAGTCAAACACTCTTGGTAATTTAAAATTTCAATCTGTTTTGGCGATGCAGATGGATGACTGGTCAGTATTAGAAATAAAGCTCTTTTCAATTTGCCCATTCTGTTCTTGGAATCTGTCCCATGGACATAAAAGCATCAGTGAATGGAGTTGTTTATTATAGCTTCATGGTACCAGCAAGAGTGCAATGACTGGGTAGATCACAGTGCATCCACATGAGACATTATACAGTCATTACAAAGAAAGATTTAGGGCTACACCAACTTAAAGACAGTGTCATAATTGGGTTTTGAATGAGAAAAATGATACACAAAATAGTATATTCAATCTAATCATGCTTTTTTCTTTTTTTATTATTTTTTAATAGCTGGGCATGCAATTTTGATAGCAGAAACTGAAAATCTTTTTAAAATGTACTTTTTTAAGGTTTTTAATTTTTATTATTATTATTAATTTTAATGAAAATTTACAGAAACTTTGAATTTCCACTCATTCATTGTTGCACTTTTCTCCCTGCCCACATCTGTCTCAGTTCGCTCTTCTTTTTGAAAAGAAAAAAAATTCCAATATAAGGATAAATTTATAAATATGTATGTATACTTTATAAATGTGGAGAATAGTATAGAATGGTATTATATTAAAGTTGTCAACACTAGTTACTTAAGAGGAGGGGTACGTCATGGCAGGGAAGAAGAGAAAGCAAGAAAGAAAAGACTGAGAGAATTATCCTGGCTATACACTCTCATGTGTGCATATTGGTGCCTGGTGTTAACTGGTGACCTAGAGGGCTGTCCATCCTAATTTGTCAAATGTAAAAGAAGCTGCCAACTTAGGTCTGTGTCATTGGATCTCAGACATTAGGGGGCATCAGAAACCTTTGGATATCATGTTAAAAGCACCCAATTACTGCTGCCTCCCCCACCACCAGAGAGTAACAGTCAGTAAGTCTGAGATGGGGCCTGGAAATTATAATTTTAAAAAACCAAATTATGTTGATGCTGGTCATGAATCTTATACTTTTAGAAAACGGACAACCCAACAAGCAAAACTTCTATAAATGAGCACATATGCTTGTGAAAGCATATACAGGTTTGCATCTGTATGTACAATGAGAATGTCCAGGAAAGCACACTCCAAATCATTCATATTATCTAATAGAGAAAGCTGGAGGTCCAGGTGACCTAGGAGTTAGGAGTTGACTAGAATTGTTATTGATATGTGATGTTGAACCTTCGAGTCAACTACAACCCATAGCAATTTTTTGAACAAGAGGTCAGAATCCTGCATCATCCTCATGACCTTCAACAGGCTTGAGGCCACTGTTACAGACATTACATCAGTTCTTCTTGTGGAAGTCTTCTACTCTTTCTTTGACCCTCCTCAACCTTTCCCAGTTGGATGTCATCTTCCAAGGACTGACCCCTATGCCCTAAGTATGACTAGTGTTAGGAGAGTATAGTTGATTGTCATTAGTTTTACCTAGATACAGATTCAGATCTATTGTTTTACTTGTTCTATGAATATTGTTGTTGTTGTTATGTGCCATCAAGTCACCTGTGACTCAAAGCAACCCTATGTACAACTGCTCTGAAGCCTACCCTGTCCTGAGTCAGTCTCACTGACTCCAACACACCTACTCCCATTGCCCTAGTTACTGTATTATTTTATAAAATTTTGTATCTTGAAAACCATCATTAAATAAAATCACATGGATGGATGGATGGATGGATGGACAGGTGGCTGGTAGTTAGAAGAAATGAAGGCTAGAAAAATGGAATAGATGAGTGAATAGAAGGGTAGGTGAATGGATGGAAAAGCCAGAGAAGGAAGGAAGGGAGATAAAATGGGTGGAGGTAGATAAAGTTCCATGAGGAGTCCAACCTTGGGCAGACCACTCTCACTCAGTTACTGGGCTTCATATCTTACCTCCTTTAGGTGGGCAGTGTCTCTAGCGGTCTGGAAGCTCTGACTGAGCTCATCCACCTCTTTCTCAAAGAGTGAGCGGACTTCACTGAATCCTGAGCTCACGGGTCCCATGAGCTCCTCCAGAATGGAGGCCAGGAATGGCTGCACACTATCTGCACAGCTTCTCTCCACAGGCTGGGTCACCAAAGCTGAAGTAGGAAACATCCACAAAATTGTGACTTGGAGCAAAATTGGATTCAGAGGCACCCGAGTCAGGCCATTGCACATGCAAAGCTAGCTCAGATGGGTAAGCCAGACAATCACAGCGAAGCTTGTGCCAGAATGGAAAACCATCAGACGCTTTGAGAGCTGGCACAAACAGAACTTCTCCCCTCCCCAACATAGCTTCCACTCTGCATGAAACAGAGTTTTCTGCTTGGCCCCTACAAATACAACATTTCAAACAAAGGAGAAACATGGTATGGAATGGCATAGCTATATAAATCATCATCATCATTATAATTTGTCTCTTAAATGAGTTTTTCCTGAGTTAATTAGTTGTTTAACTCTGTGCCCTAGAAAACAAGTAGAGTCTTTGCTCAGGCAAATAAACCCAAATTCCCTTTGGTTTGTTACCTTAGCCTCTACTCTCATCCTTACCGCTTTCTTCTTTCCAATTTTGCCAAACAAATTCCCTACCCTCTCTCCCTAGATCATCACAGAATACACAGTCAGCAAAGGAAATGTAACCAGGACAGAAAATTGTAAAGAAGAATTAAGAACATTTTTTTTTAAAAAAAAACAAATTCACATTCTCCAAGGCATCTCTACATGTTTGATTTATCTCTAAGTTGTTTGATTTAGAAGAAGAAGAGCAGTTAAAGATTCTGAGTCAGTATGTCTGGATTAAAAGCTCATTGCCATCAAGTCAATTTCCACTCATGGTAACTTTGTAGGGCAGAGAAGAACTGTCTACAGGGTTTTCAAGGCTGTGATCTCTATGAAGGCACACTGACACATCTTTCTACCTCAGAGCAGCTACTGGGTTCAAGCCATAAACATTTCGGTTAGCAACAGAGAACCGTAACCACTATACAAACAGAGTGAAAGGATACACAAGAAAGGTCTCAGTAACTATCTCTGAAAAGCAGGCTCTAAATGTTTTCATTTTGTGTATCTACATTTTCTAATTTTTGTTCTACAAGAGCTTGTATTTAAGATTCTGTCATCCAACCTATTTCTAGTTCTGGCAATTCATTTTGATCTGGGTGAGAAAGAAGAGGTAAATGTGTTCTTGTGAAAAACCTTAAATTAGAAGTCTGATTTTGGTTGATTTTTTTTAAATAGGTATAAAGTCTTTAAAATGGTTTTGTGAAACAAATTTTGGTATTATTAGTACTTATTTTCACTGAATAAAGATTAATTTTCCTTTTTCTTTGTTATTTAGGGAATCATATGAGAAGCAACAATGTCAGTCTAGAGACTAAGTTGTGCCTGATCCAGGCCATGGTCTTCACAATTACTTGACATGCATCAGAGAGCTGGACAATGACTAAGGATGACAAAAGAAGAATTTATGTCTTTGAGTTGTGGTGCTGGAGAAGAGTCTTAAACATACCATGGAACACCAAGAAAACAAATACGTCTGTATTGGAGAGGGTGAACTAAGTTTCTCCTTAGAGGCTAGGATTTTGAGGTTCCATCTCATGTACTTTGGGCATATTGCCAGGAGGGACTGGTCCTAGAAGGACATCATGCTCAGAAGTGTGGAGGAACAGTGCAGGAGAGGAAGACTCCATGTCAGATGGACTGATACAGTAACTGGGTTAATGGGGGTAGGTATGTTGGAGTCAGTGAGACTGGCTCAGGACAGGGCAGGCTTCAGAACTGTTGTACATAGACGTAGGGTTACTATGAGTTGTAGCCAACTCGATGGCACGTAACAACAACATTATGACTATGGACCATTTTTCACTGGAATATCTTCTGTGAAATAAAAGCAATCCCCAAATGAAGGATCTTCAGGCATGATTGATGGGTACAGCAGATATTATTAAACTCTAACCCTTTCCAAGCATGCTATCCCTTTCCAATGAATAGCCAGCCTTTTCTAACAATAGGCCCAAAGTCTGTGACATGAAGCTGTGTCATTTTTGCCTCCAAGGAGTATTTGGCTGTACTTTCTCTAAGACATATGTGTTTGTTCTTTGGTAGACCATGAGATATTCAGTACTCTTCTCCAACACCACAGTTCAGAGGCATCAATTCACCTCCAGTCTTTTTATTATTATCCAGCTTTTGGACACATTGCTAAAACCTGGAAAGACCATGGCCTAAATTAGACACATCTTAGTCTTCAGATTGGCATCACTGTTCCTTAGCAATATGTAGAGTTCCCCGACTATGGTCTTTCCCAATGCAATATGTCTCCTGATCTCCTGACTGCTGGTACCAAAGATGTTTATTGTGGATCGAATTAAGATGAAATTATTGACAATTTGGATTACTAAAAGAACAAATAGGTTTGCTCTGGAGAGGGTGAAACCAGGCTGCTCCTTGGAGGCAAGGATTCTGAAGTTCAGTATGACATACTTTGGGCATGTTGTAAGGAGGGACCAGTTCTTGGAGAGGGACATCATTCTTGGATGCATAGAGGGTCAGTGCAAAAGAGGAAGACCCTTGGTAAGATGGATTGGCACAGTGACTGGGATAATGAGGCTAAGTGTGTCAGAGACAGTGAGGTTGGTTCAGGATAGAGCAGGGTTCAGAGCCATTTTATATAAGGTCACTATGAGTTGCAAGTGATTTGACGGCACAGAGCAGCAGCAGGAGCAACAACAACATCACGATGTCAGAATTGTTGTTCTCTAGATGTTGAGATGTTTTATCTATATTGAAGGCTGTATTCTTCGATCTTCTGCAACAAGTGCTTTAAGTCCTCCTCACTTCCATCAAGCAAGATTATGTCACCTGCATAACAGAGATTATAGATGAATCTTCCTCTGATACGAATGCCACAGTCTTCTTCATTTAATCCAGCTTCTTAAATGATTTCACTATGTATCCAGTTATACACAGTACAGATTTAGAGATGTTTGCTGCCCTGTCCTGCTTTTTGGTGGAAGTGGTTTCTGAGGGGGGGAGGCTGTAGGAGGTCCAGTTCACCAGTGTCTTCCAAATTGTGGCTGCTCCACCATATGATGCCCTAGATGCCTTTTTTTAGCATGTAGAGCCTTTCCTCTTTGTCCCCCATGTCCTCCACATCTTCTCGTTCACACAACTCTCAGAGTTCACCCCTCCAGAAGGCATAATGTCATTGTTGAGCTTCTGAACTGTGTTCTCCAAATATTTCCTAACAGACTTAATGAATCCCGGGTCTCAACTATTCCCTGCTGCTTCTCAAGCCAACAGAGATGCTGTTGTGATAAATACTATGTTGAGATGCACTAATTCATAAGCAATTCTGAAGCTAAGGCAGCAGATGAGAAGCAGTTGGGCATAGCGATTAGGAATGAAAACACAGGAGCTAGAGTGTTTGGGTGAGCAGGCTGACTGGCTTCCAAATTCTGGCAAGTTAATTAGCCCCTGCCTCATTGTTCTCATCAGTCAAATGAGACAAATAAGAGTATTTACTGCCCAGGATCATGATGAAGATTCAATGAACTGACTATGCTAAAAGTGCTTAAGATCACAGTTCCTTACCATTAAGATCACAATTCCTTACCATTAAACCAACAGAGTTCAACTCAGGGTGTACTCTTTAATGCTGAACTCTTCTATCTGTTGGCATTATCATTCTTTCCAATCACACGACTGGATATAAGAGATCCATGAAGTTTTTTGAAGTTGAAATGAGATCAGCCTCCCAGTTGACTATCATTGCATTCTTCATTTTGCTTCTCATGGCACATTTATCATATGTCTCTGGTGTTTGACCTCCTGTTATTACAATATGTTTTCTTTTTTGACTCCTCAGGGTCACTGTAATCAGAGGAGACTAAAGACTCACTGAATAAATAACGTAGAACAGAATAAAGTTTAACTTCTTTACTTTTAGGAATTATACAGAGGTAATGGAGAGACTACTACTTAATACTCTTTAAAAAAACACAAAACAGCATAGAAGTAGCATTATATCATATCCAACTTTAGAAAGCACAAGAAAAGTCACTGCCCCAGCATCAACAGCATGAGGCTAGTTTCTATGAAGTCACGTAAGACTCCACCTGACAATCTTTTACCAATTTTGAAACCAACTGTTTCTTCCTGGTACATTCTATTCGCATGCTGTTCCACTGTGTTCAGTAATTAGTTACAGTGGCCACACAGAACTCATAACTCACACTCAGAGTTATGAAATTTATTAGGGAACTAACAGGTTGCAATTCAGGATCAGAACATTCGGGATACAGTTCTTCAGTCGAGATAGCACTTTTCTCCTGTACCCAAAGGCAGACACCGCTCTTTGACCCTTGCCTTGCTCAAGCAATTTTTACAAATTTCTTTAAGCTCTGTTGAACTAAGTGCTCCAAAGCATCTATCAACAAGTCTAATGTTTCCTGGATTTACCTAAATGGGCCAGCAAACCTAGCTCCCCTAAAAAGTACCTTAAACTATTCACATTCCACCAGTAAATATCCTGACCAAGGGCATCCAGCTTTTTTGCTCTGTGGGTCAGGAAGCCCACACAACTGCCTCATGTTAGTCTCCTGGTCTCTGCTGTTCCTGCTTCTCCACTACTACTTTTTGTCACCTCATGTCTTTGTAGCAAAGTATCGCTGCTGTCTCCTGGATTAAGAAATCCCAATCCAAATATTTCAGAAGCATCCTACCCTTGAGTTTTCCTCATTGGTGGCAGCAAGAGCTCACTTTTCTGTCTCTTGAATGATTCACTTTAAGCATAGTTGTTGGGTTTAGGTGCTGGCAAGTTGAGTGTGACCCAAATCGACACTATGAACAACAGATCTGAACACTGTCCTGTTCTGTGCCATCTTCACAATATTTGACACACTCAAGCCCATTGCTACAGTCTCAGTGCCGATCCATTTGGTCGAGGATCTTTCTCTCTTTCATCAACTCTTCATTTTTCTAAGCACGACACCTCTCTTCAAGGAATAGCCTCTCCTAGCGATATGCCCAAAGGATGTGAGACAAAGGTTTATTATCTTTGCCTCCAAGAAGCACTCTAGATGCACCTATTCTAAAATATATTTGCTCTTTTGGCAGTCCATGGGATATTCAGTATTATTCTCTAACACCACAGCTTAAGGGCATAAATTCTTCTTCTGCCATCATTATTCATTATCCAGCTCTCAGATTCATAGCAAATGACTGAAAATACAATGGCCTGAATCAGATGCACCTTAGTAAAGGTTAAACCTAGAAGGACAGCAAAACTGAAAAATTACCATGAACTTTATTTATATGATCACACCTCACAAGGTACCGCACTACAAAATTGCTTTGAACCTCACTCAAATTAAGAATGAGCTATCTATTTCTCCTGATGGGCCACAAACATCTCACATTTGCACAGTCCCACCAGACACTAGGCAGCTCTGGTAGCCTAGTGGTTGCACTGCCAACCTGAAAGCTTGTGGTTTGAATCTATCAGGAGGCGCTCCACAGGAGAAAGATGGACAGTCCCTCCTGTGTGATTTACTGCTTTTAAAAACCCACTGGAGAGTCAGCTATGCATGAGTTCCAACTTGATGGCACGCACAAACAACAACTCAGGTATTAGGGAGTTCTGGTGTCATGACCCATAGGGAACTTCACCACTAACTGAAAGGTGACGCCTCTCTGACTTGAATCCATCAGCAGCTCCACAGGAGAAAAATGAGCAATCTCCTCCTGTGTGATTTATGCTGTTATGTACCATAGAGGTGATTTATAGTCTCTAAAAAAATCTATTGGAAAATCAGTTACAAAATGGTTCCAACTTGACAGCAAAGAGTCAGTGGGTTAGTGACCAAGGTATTTAATGGGAGTTACAAAGACTGTTGCTACAAGAGTCATTTATGGTACTGAGTGCTCCTAAAGTTTTCCCTTCCTTTCTTTCTTTTTAAAGAATCCCAAACGTTTTATCAATGCAGACTGAAATATACTTCCTGTTATAAAGATGGAGAACAGAGAGGCTTGGTTAAAATGATATTTCAATTTAAAAAGGCTTGACTGTTGTTTTCTGCCAAGGTTCCTTTTAGGAAACAAATTTGACTCTAGAATCTTTTTCCATCTTGTGTGGGATACACCCAAGCCCCAGAGCTCGAGAGAGAGATGAAGAGGTTTAAATTGGGCCATGAGAATGGCCCGTGCTAGGCTCAGCTGCACTCCAGACAGCAGGAATTTTGGCACCGAAGTTTAGTGTTGGCAGTTTTCATTTGTTTAAAATATTTCAATATATAGTCAACTTTAGATCTGGTTGCACTAGATCTAGATGTATCAAACAGAAAACACTCTGAAGTTAAATACCCTGTTTGGGTTGTAAAGGCATTGCGTAAACAAGCATTTATATACAGACACGCAGACATACACACCCTTCATAGTCATGCCTCATCTAGTCTCTTCTTAGCAAGACTCATTCAAAGACACCTCAAAAAAGTGGAGCAGCAATGTTAAGAATAACTCACCACACAGGTCCTCTGTTGGACTCTAAGCTTCATAAGGACAGAAACCAGGTCTTCTATGTTCACTGCTAACGATCCACTACCTTGCTCAACATTCACTCATTAACATGGAGTCATAAGTGACTCACTGCTGACTCTTGTTTGGGTTTCCAAGACCATAATCCCACAGGAGGAGCCTGCCTACCTTTCTCTCACGTAGCTGCTGATGGATTTAAACTGTCAGAGACACTGTGGCTGTTGGGTGAGCAGCACAATTCCGACACACTATACCACCAGGGTTCTCTCTTGCTCAGTTGTTATTAGTTGCCACTGAGTCAAGTCTGACTCCCAGTGATCCTATGAACCACCGATCTGAACCCTGTCTTAATGCCGTGCCAACCTTATCATCTCTCCCACACTTGAGTTCCATCGCTGAAGAAACTGTATCAATTTATCTCACTGGGGTCTTCCTCTCTTTCACTGACCCTCCGCCTTTCCAAGCATGATGTCCCTTTCAAGAAGCAAGCACTGGGTCAATATTTGTGTATGAATGATGAGGGTGAGCCAGCCAATGAATAATCCAAAAACTGACTACAGAAGATCATTGACAATCACAGATGTGTCAGCATACTTCTCCCCCAAAATGACATTCAGTAATGGAGACTTTTTATTGAGATATGGGTGCCCCAGATAGAATCTCCAGAGCATTTTGGCCCTGAAGAACTTGTACAAGTCCACTTACGCCTTCTTTTGTGGATGCAGGCAAACATTTTCTCTAAGGAATCAGCGACTATTTGAGGCTTTTCAATCCAAAGCCTTCATTCCAACTATACTAACTGCTATTTTAGCATGAACACAGGTCAATACAGAAATGAATTGGTATGGCTGTGCTCTAACAAAATTTATTTAGAAAAATTATCCAAAATCATTATTCAAAATATCAAAAATATTAAAAAAATATTCTCTACTATTAGCCTACAGTCCATTGTTTGTTGATTCTGCTTGTCTGCAGTTTGCTTTTCTCAGAAGAGGACACAGAGGCATAGAGAAGTCAAACAACCCCTCCAAGGACCTGACAAACAAGTAGCAACAGTTGGAGCTGGAATGTGAACTCATATTTATTGACTCCAAACAAACAAAAAAATGGTGGCTATCTTGTTAAAAGAAAATTCAATTCTCCATTTATTAAAATGCTCCATAAGAGCCTGTATGGTGCTAAACATAGAGTATATGTGAGTGAGCCAAAGCACCACATCTCTTCTCTTAAGGAGCTTACATCTGGGCAGGAGTCCCAGTAGAAGCTCAGGTCACTATAATTCAGTATCAGAATGCTGAAATGGGGGAAATTGCATTGGGAAAGTTGGCTGTGAGGGACCTCTCAAGAGTACTGAAGAGCAACGATGTCAGACTGGAGACTAAGGTGTGCCTGATCCGGGCTATAGTCTTTGCAATTACGTGCTATGCATCAGAGAGTTGGACAATGACTAGAGTTGACAGAAAGAGAATTGATGCCTTTGAGCTGTGGTGTTGGAGAAGAGTGTTGAATATACCATGGACTTCTAGGAGAACAAAAGGTTTGTCCTGGAGAGGGTGAAGCCAAGAGGGCTCTTTGGAGTCAGGATTCTGAAGCTTCATCTGACATATTTTGGGCATGTTGCAAGGAGAGACTGGTCCTTGGAGAGGGACATCATGTTTGGCAGAGTGGAGGGGCAGCGAAGGAGAGGAAGACCTTTGATGAGATGGATCCATTCTGTGACTAGAGAAGTGGGAATAAGTGTGTTTGAGATGGCTAGGTTGGCACAGGATAGAAGAGCATATAGAGCTCTTGTACATAGGGTCGCTATGAGTCGCAAGCGACTTGATGGCACATAACAACAACAACAACATTATTAAACAAACAAGGAGGAGCTCCGATGGCCTAGTGGGTAAGGAGTTGATCTTCCAAACCAGAGGAAAGGGATTTGAATCCACCAGCTGCTCCATGGGAGAAAGATGAGCAATCACCTGCTAACACAATTACAGCTTCTGAAAGCCCACTGAAGAGTCAGCTATGAATCAATTCTGAAGGGATGGTACATAATAGCAAAACATTACAAACAAAAAGAGTCTTTTGTCTTAGGTCCATGAAACTCCATGAGAAGGTCGAGGTCCTTACCAGCACCTCTGCCCTAACATTATAACACCTCTTATCACTTCTCAATTTCTTCAAGTCAACTCTCCTCTAAAACCATTTGTCTTAAATATGCAGTGGATCACCTAACTGCACAGCTTAGTTAATTGGCAGGAGCATGGATTATCTCTACTGACCTTTGATCTTTCCAGTTAAGAAGTTCTTTGAGTTCACAATCTGGTCCATGTCTGAGCGGATTGTTCCTTCCAGGTCTTTGGTCAGACCTCTGCATTCCTCCTTTAAGGCACTTAATCCTTCTGAGACTTGAGCCTGAACCATGTTGTAAGCCTCCTCTAGAAGCTGCAACAAGGACAGGACATAAATCAGGCTCTGTCACATACAGAGTCAAGTAGAGGGAGGTGAGCTTATCACGGGCTATCATAATATAAACAGCACAGCACACAAATCCTAATTTTTCTTTCTGGCTTCAAGTCTGTTTGGATTAGTCTTCATGTAAGTGAGAATAAGCAGGCTCAAAGCAGACAGTTCTCCATCCAGGAAGGAACTATGTTGTTTTTTATTCTAAAGCTGCCCTATAAGGAGAAAGGACTGTACATCCCAGGTGCAGGCCAAAATAGTGACTTACCCCAAACCAGGCTCTCTTTCTGTCATTCTTTTTCCCCTTCATTTTAGGCAGAAGTTCTGTCTGGAGGGTTGGTAGGAGTTCCTCCATCACCAAGTTACTCAGGATCTACAGAGAAGAAAGTGACATGAAGCCTGGCCAGTGAGGTCAGAAGGAATCCAAACACCAGGCCACTCAAAGGTGCCATGAGTGACAGCTGCTATTTTGCACACTGTTGTCTAAACCACATAGCTGAAACCCTCTTTCTGAAGACATCGCAGGCACCACAGCTAAGAAAATCAGAGGGTAAATGTTCTTAAATTTCTACAAGGAATAGCGACACTTGCTTATTATATAAGCAGCCATGGCGGCATGATGTGTAGCAGGCTAGACTGCTCACCTAAAGGTTACGGCTTCAATCTACCCACAGATGCTCTTTGAAAGAAAGATGGGAAGAGGCGTCCAATTAAGATTTTATAGCCTTGGAGACCTGATGGAAGGTCACTATCAGTCAGATTCAACTATATTACACACACACACAAACACACATACATATATTTGGAAGGAGGAGTGGCATCCACTCCCGTAACAGCTTGCCTCCGGAAACCCTATGAACCTGGAGAGAGGATGAAAGACACCCAAGCGTTGAGGACTCTCCTTCATAGGGTCGCTATGAGTCAGTCGCCTGTAACTCCATGGCACTTAACAACAACAACATATATATATAT